GAAGAGGATGACCTTGATAGTGACTTGGGCTTGTTGAATGAATTTGAAGTTAGACCAATACGACCCCAAAGCAGAGTAGACAAACTTTCAGAAGAAATAGCTGAACTCAAAAGTGGGCTGGAGGCGACCAACGCTAAAGTGGATAAAATCATTAACCTAATGAATAAACAACTTTCCACAAGGTCACAATCTCCACCACGGAAAACAGACAGTACTTCTAGTTCTGTTTCCAGCTCTTCACCACTCAAAGCAGCACAGTGCTTCAACTGTGGACAACCAGGTCACTTTGCTAGAGAATGCCAAAGGTCACACAGGTCCCGTTCCCCATCCCCTAGATCACCGAAGAGAGAAACCAGGACTAGTCCAACCAGTTACGACATACGAATGTATGACAACAGTCAAACACATCCATACAACTTGATGCTAGGGATCTCTATTAATGGAAAACCTGTTCAAGCTATTGTCGACACGGCAGCCCAGATAACAGTTATCAGCCAAGCTTTCGCCAACACTTTCACCCCACCCTTAGTTCGTGGAGAAAAAGTAACCATGAAGGGTGCAGGAAATTCTGACTTTATTGAGGCTAACTACTGTAAAAACATTCAGATTTGTATTGGGAACACACAAGAAGACCCAATCACCTGGACTGCCCTTATAGCTGACATATCTGATCCCGTCATATTAGGTCTGGATTTTCTAAAGGCACAAAATGCTACCATTGACCTTAATGAAATACAGATAGTCCTTGGTGGCAAACGGATGAATGCAACTCTACTAGATGCAGGAGGTAAACAAGTTCAAATAGCTAGAGTGAAATTAAGTCAAAAAGTGAGAGTTGAACCATTTTCATCAGTGCAGGTTCTTGGCCATTTGGACCAACACATAGCTGGTACTTTGGTTTTCAAACCATGTCATAATGTTAAGGGATTGCTTTCACCACATGCTTTAGTTGATAACAGTGATCAAGTGCCAGTCCTCTTGCGCAACTTGTCAACAAGACCAGTTAAACTTCAGAAAAATGTAGTGATTGGGACTGTTTCTGAAGTGGACCAAGTCGCCAATGGTGGAATACTACAAGACCACAGCAAGACAAATGAACGTTTTCCTGTCGAATTACCAGACCACTTGATAGACCTAGCAGATAGATCAACAAGAGATCTAACCTCAGAGCAAAGTCAAAGTGTTAAACACCTTCTTCTGGAATTCCAAGACATTTTTTCTAAAGGAGACTTTGACTTGGGACTGTTCAAAGGGATCCAACACAAGATAAACACTGGCAATGCCCACCCGGTGAAATCCAAATTGAGGCGCACACCACTAGGATTCCAATCAGAGGAAGAGGAGCATCTGAAAAGTATGCTGGACAAAGGTATCATCGTTCCGTCAGTTTTTGAGTGGTCGTCAGCACCGGTCCTGGTGCGGAAAAAAGATGGGACTGTTAGGTATTGTATTGATTTTAGGGGAGTTAATAAAGTCACCAAGAAAGATGCTTTCCCACTCCCGAACATGGAGGAATGTCTAGACACTCTTGGAAAAAACAACTTAATGAGCACGCTTGACATGGCACAGGGATATTATCAGATAGAGGTAGACCCTGATGATAGACACAAGTTGGCATTCATCACAAGGTACGGCCTATTTGAATTTGTACGAATGCCCTTTGGAACATGCAATAGCCCTGCAACCTTTCAACGGGTGATACAGTTAGTTTTACAAGGTCTTAACTGGAAAGAATGCCTTGCTTACCTAGACGATGTCATAGTCTTGGGTCAGAATTTTGAAGAACATTTAATAAATCTAAGAGCAGTATTTGAAAGATTTAGGACCCATAACCTCAAACTAAAACCAAAAAAATGTCATCTCTTCAGGAAGGAGCTTCAATTCCTTGGTCGCTTGGTTACAGAAAAAGGGGTCAGCATCACTACCGAGAGTGTGAAATGTATGGCAGAATGGCCGACACCCAAATGCAAGAAGGACCTTGAAGCATTTCTTGGGTATGTTAACTACCATAGAGAGCATATAAAGAGTTTTGCAGAGATAGCAGCACCTCTGTACACTCTCACAGGGCCAAAGACCAAGTTTATCTGGAATAAAGAGAAGGACACAGCATTCATTTCCCTTAAAGAGGCAATGACGAACCCTGCAGTTCTGGGATATCCCTCTGATGATGGCATGTTCATATTGGACACGGATGCTTCGGACATGGCTATTGGAGCAGAACTGTCCCAGATTCAGTGTGGTAAGGAAGTCTTAATCAGTTTTAACAGCAAGACCTTGACATCTACTCAACGGAAGTACTGCGTTACTAGGAGGGAGTTGCTAGCTGTTGTAGCATTTACTCGTCACTACCGATATTATCTACTGGGCAGACCTTTCATTTTGCGGACAGACCACAACAGTCTGGCATGGTTAATTGGGTTCAAAAATATTGAGGGGCAACTAGCTCGCTGGCTAGAAGAGTTATCACAATATGATGTTATCATCCAGCACCGAAGTGGAAAGAAACACCAGAACGCTGATGGCCTCTCCAGAATGTCAACAAATGACCTGTCCTGTGACTGTTACAATGCTGGTTGTGATGTCAGTAGGCTACCTTGTGGGGGCTGCAGTTACTGTCGACGGATGCATGCTCAATGGGAACGCTTCCAGGAGGATGTTGATGATGTAATCCCCCTAGCAGTTAGGACCCTTCAAGAAACTGATAAACCAAAGGAAACACCTAACACCATAGACAAGGATGCATGTAACTGGGCTTCTGCCTTAACAGATGAAGAAATCAGAGATGCACAAATGCAAGATTTAAACACAAGTACCTTAATGAAATGGAAGGCAGAAAACTATGTTCCAACTGAACTAGACCTATCCCTTTCCAGTAGAGCTGTAAAATACTTTTGGAACTGCTCATCGCAACTACGAATTTTGAATGGTATCCTTTTCTATGAGTGGATAGATGGCTCTATGTCCCGACTATTGCTTGTGGTCCCAAAGTCACTACAAAATTGTGTTCTAGAAGGATCTCATGACAACAAATTAGCAGGCCATATGGGACAGCAGAAAACCCTACAGAAGGTGAAATCAAAGTATATCTGGTTTGGAATGAGTTCCGATTGCGAGTCTTATGTCCGAACGTGCCCAGTATGTAATGTCAACAAGAAAGCCAATGTACATGCCAAAGCAGGCCTTGGCCAATACCATGCTGGAGCACCCTTAGAAAGAGTGCATATTGACCTGATGGGTCCATTTGTGGAGTCCGGCAAAGGGAACAAGTACATTTTAATGATAGTCGACCAATTCACCAAGTGGTTAGAGTGTTACGCACTGCCTGATCAAGAAGCGGAGACAGTAGCAACATCATTTGTGGAAGGTTTTATATCTCGATTGGGGTGCCCTCTCCAGGTTCACTCTGACCAGGGTAGAAATTTCGAGAGCCGCTTATTTCAGGAAGTGTGTAAACTACTCCAAATAACAAAGACGAGAACCACCCCATACAGACCCTGCTCAAATGGACAGGTCGAAAGATACAATCGTCTTGTTCTCCAAGCCATCCGATGTTATATGGAAAACATCTCACAACATAAAGATTGGGACTTACACCTCCAACAAATAGCTGGGGCAATCCGTGCCACTGTCAATCGACAAACGGGATTCACACCAAACAGAATGATGCTGGGGAGAGAAGTCTCTCAACCTTTAGATATTATGTTAGGAAGGAAGATACCAGGGCAAAACCCAGCAGGATATGTGGAAAATTTGGAGGAGGCTCTTTCAGTGTGTCATCAAGCTGCGAGGGACAACTTGGGGGAAGCACAACTCCGTCAGAAGAGGACCTATGACATAAAATCAAACACAAGAAGCTATGAGGTGGGTGATGTGGTATATATGGTGGATACCTCTTCCAAAGTAGGCCAATCGAAGAAGTTGAGGAAGCCATGGATAGGCCCTTTTGTCATTGTATATAAGATTAATCATGTGCTATACAGAATCCAAGGGAAAAAGGAAAACAAGGTGGTCCACCATGACAGATTAAAACTTTGTCAAGACAGAGATCTACCCTTATGGCTTAAAAGGCTACGACATTCAGTTCTTCACCCAGAACCCAGTGACAAGGAATCCAAACAGCAAAATCAAGTACAGGAGGAATTACCGCAGTCCAGTTCTTACGAAGATGATGCCGTAAGCCCCACAAATGAAGGACATGAGAATGAATCATCAGATGATCTGGAGATCTGCCAAAGACCCGCTCGAAAACGACAGGCACCTAAGTGGATGAAGGATTTTTGTCTTTTGGACGATTAATCATGATGTCATTGGAAATTTTAATTAGAATTATATGTATTTGAATATCTTTTCCTTCTTATCCACTCCTCCCTCTGTAGAATTTATATGGTTTTTTTTTATTATTTGTATAATTATGCTTTTTCTTCCAGGATGTGTTCCAAATGAACTTTTATTCCCTTCTGATGATTTTTTACTTGTATATAGTCAAAGTGGCTTGATTTTTCTGGCCCAGCTGACTATTTCATAAATATAATAACGCACTGTACATCTCTTAAAAATTATGAGGGGGAGGAGTGTGGTACGAAACACTTTGGTACGATCTAACAATAAATGAGTTTGCAACCTGATACTGGCTTAGTGATCCCTCGTGGTTCCCGAGCCCCTGTATTGGCCTGTAGCTGAGCTCGCAGACTTATAGGTCACTACAGCTATATTACTTACCCAAAACACAAAATATACAATGAAAAAAAAAGAAAACTGAAATAATATAAATATTTGTAATGTAAACAAAATAGAAATAAATAAATAATTTAAATCAGTAAAAGAAATGAAAAAAATCTAAAAGATATAGGAAAAAGAAACAACAATAACCCTGAAGTGCCAGGTTAACAAAAGACATTACAGCATTTACATTTGTTTATAGGTAAACATTGCTAAAATTAGACTCATTCTTATTTATGGAAACTACCTTTTTCAAAAATACTACAATTGCGTAATCCAACTTTCTTTTTCGAGTAACAAGAAACCGATAACTTTCGTTTTCCTTTCATCTTGCCGTTATGGTCATATGATGGCAGCGAATGTAACGGAGAAATTTCTCACAGAGGTAGTGGAACACCTGGAACCAGTTGATGTGTTGGACCATTTCCCGGACCTCAAAGGTAATAGGCCTATGTCCTAGTAGAATAAAGCTCATGTCAGCTCGTGACATATGCATATGAACCCGAACATTCATTCAGGTAAACAACATTGCCAGGCATTATATAAACTCGTAAAAATGAGATCTAAAGCAACTTTGTTTTTTTTATTTATATTCATCGGACATTAGTTATCACTGAAACGTACAGGGGGTTGTCTTTATCATTATATAACTAATAAGATGTTTGTATATGGCTACCAATATTCAATAAATAAAAAAAAAATATTTTTTTCTGTTTGAAGATGTCGATGTTGAGAAAATAGAACAGCTTCAGAAGAGCGGGGAAAGACAAGAGGCTTGTCATGCTTTCCTTAAACTTATTTTGCTGCAAGATGATGAAGACTTGCGGACCAACAACATAAACAAACTGGTGAATGCATTCAGAGAGGAGGGTATGTTTGCATATCTTAATTAGATGGGCCTATTGTTATATAAGTATGGCGTGCAGTAGCGTGTTATATTGTGAATACATAGGTTGACAGAATGAAGCTTCACTGAAGCACTGAAAAGGATACCTCAGGAATTTTGTATTTGCGGACACTCCCTGGGAATTCCAAAAAAAAAAAAAAATAAATAAATAAATAAAAAATAAAAAAAAAAATTAAACAGTCTGAGAGCAGAAAAAAGTTTTACTTTAAATAAAGTAAACGAGTTTGTTTTTAGGGACATTATTTGAGAATTTTTGAAAATTAAGGACGCAGGATTGTCATTTTTAGACAAATTATAAAGGGCATTTCATAACATAGGTAACATTTTGAATCCTCAATTTGACAATTACACGAAAAAGGTACAGATAAGTATTTTATTCAATATGATGCATGTATCTATAAGATTCATAATGTTCAATATTACCAACAAAAATATTGAACACTAGATGAAATAAAACTTGAATGAAAATTAGGTCATTTTGTTTCGTTGAATTTCACAAAATCCCACACGATCTCCATTCAACTACAAACATATTTCTTTTGTCAACTGCTGTATGAATATTGGCTACAATTAAGTATAGAGAAACAACAAAAAGATTTAGAAATACATTGATATGATAAGTCTACTTAAAATCAGATTACGACATTAGCGTTTTTGACACAATTAATAATAGAATATAATATAATAGTAATATTATAATAAAATAGGAATATATAATATAATATAATATAATATTATAATATATGAATATAGCCCTTTGATGAGGTCGGTCCATAGATATATCGACTTCACAGAAAAGCATATTGACAAAGTGCGAGGTCAATATGCTTTTCTGTGGAGTCGATTTATCTATGGATTGACCGAATAAAGGGCTACATTTGTCATATTATTTTTTACAGAGGTTGATAAAAAACAATTTGAAAAAAAATGGGAACAAACCACAAGTTTTCTCTCTTAAACACATATAGACTAGAAATCAAAATAGATTTAGCTGTTTAATATAAATGTGTTTCTTTTAATTTTTTTGTTTATTTTGGAGGATTTACTATTGAAAATACTACAATTGCACATTTTTTTGATTATGTTTTGTATAAATTTTGACAAAGATATTCAATATGTTTTAATATTAAGTAGATTCTAATTCAGGCCATTGTTAAGTCTTATCAGTTACAGGACATTACACATTTAAATACAAGTTGAAGTATATATTTATTTCAGAAACACCAAGTCATATACTGTATTAGCTATAATTGTGAAATCACTACTATTAATTTTTTTGTTTTACAGAAAATTACCTCTATTTTAAGAAACATCAAGTCGATATGCATTTCAGATTCTATAAATAGTAACTCAAGTCTATATGCTGTTATATACTTAATCATGTGACCAAGTTTAAGCCAATCAGAGGGCTTGGAATATGTGATTAAAATTATATCATATTATATTATATCATAATATAATACAATATAATATAATATAATTTAATAGTAATATTATAATTTCCTTGATTTTTTCACATGGAACAAAAGTTCAGGATTTGATGTTTAAAATTGATGTCAAAAAAACAAAAAACTATGCAAGCAGATAGTGAGTCTGCATCCATGTTTCCAATATAGTTAAATATATACCCAATCGGATAAACGCCTGCTTATAGCTAGAAAATATGATTTAAGAATATTTATCAAATTTTCATACCCTCTTCATTGATACATAAACTGATTATTTCCAACGTTGCAGTATATATTTTTACTGCCAATTATTCCCAGATCTTAATGTCAATTTTGACGTATTAAATGACGTCAGTTATATTACAAAGTAACTGGATATATAAAAAGCATTTAAAATTTGAAAATCAATATTGAATATAAGTGAAATTAAAATCAAGAATTTTCAAAAGATATTATTCAAAGGTCAGTTTTTGAGATATGTCTAAATTGTTGATGAAACAAGGCTATCAGCAGGCTCGTTTAAAGTCATCATTTCGTAAGTTCTATGTTTTATACCATGACCTTGCCAGCAAATACAATTCATCATTGAGTCAAATGCTAGCTGACTTTTTCTTACTTCTTGTTAGTCCATTATTATATATTGAATTGACGACGGATTTTTCCGTTATTTCCCGATCATGACAAGGAGCCATGCGGCGGGTGTGACCGATCGGCAGGGGATGCTCACTGCCCCATGGCACCTGATCCAACCTCTAATGTTTTGGAGGTCCGTGTTTGCTCTGCTCCTATTTTGTATTGTTTTATGGACTTTGATATTGAATACTGTTCGTTATCTCTATATCCTTCATTCAAAGCTAAATCAAAGAAATACTAAAATAAATGTAAGTTAATTACATGAAATACGAAGATAACAAATATAAGTCATGGAAAAAAGTCCAATAAAACAATAAAAATGTGTGCAGAGCAATTGTGGACCTCTAGAAACATTAGAGGTGGAATTAGATGCCATGAAGGAGAAAACTTCCCGTTCTTATCTAAGGCGTGTCCTTTGGCTTGATATGGTAATGTATATTGCAAAATGTAATTAAAACATAGAACTAATAGCCTGTTATAATAGTAGACCCGATCAGATATATACGATACAATGTTGTTTATACATTTTGTTCAAACGAAATCGTATGCGATATGTAACTGAGTTCGAAAACTGCTCGTTATCCATATATTTCATCTCTGTTAAACATATGGAGATAACGAACAGTATTCAGGTTCAAAAGTCCATAAATATACTAAATAGGAGCAGAGCAAACACAGACCTGAAAATATCAGAGGTGGGATCAGGTATCATGGAGGAGTGAGCATCCCCTACCAACCAGTCACACCCGCTATGTGCTCCTTGTCATGATAGGGAAATAACGGAAAACTCCGTCGTCGATTCAGTGTGTAAATAATAGCCTTGCAATTAGTATGAAGAACATCATTCGTAATTTGACTGAATAATAAATTGTATTTGCTGACAACGTCATTGTATCGACCACAGAACTTACGAAATGATGACTTTAAATGACACTGCTCTTATTCTTGTTCCATCAACTTGTTAGTTAATAATTTTCCTCGTTTTAGGAATTATAAATATGTAGAGCATGCTCTTGCGTATCGAATCAACTGAGAGATATCATCTATGTATGCAGGTGATAAAAGTATATTTCTTACCATTACCATCGTTTCGACGGCGTGACCTATGTAGTGTTTTATTTCCCGTATTAAGGTTACCAGAGATTAGTAGAGAGCTATGAAGATGCAGAGGAAAGCGATCAGAAAGCTACAACAGAGTTTATGGAATTCCTGTTTAAGACGACCAAACCCGAGCTGATGAATGAGATGGACGCTGCTTCTCTGATCCCAATACTGCTAGAGAAGGGGTACATCAAAGTGAAGGATCAGCAGTATCTAAACTCTCTTCAGGTGGGTGACAGGTCAGAAGCCTGCAGGGAACTGGTCAGAAGAATCAAAAAGAAGCACAGAGACTGGGCTGTAGTTTTGTTCAGTGCCCTGAAACAGACACAACCGACCCTGGTGACCAAGTTAGATCCCGGTGCAACCAATGGTAGATTGTTTAGAGATTCATAGATGTGTGTGCAGAAACAATTTCTTTCTGATTATAGTACATGTAACGTTATTGCTAAATTAAAACATGAAGATAAAATATACTTAATATTAGGTAATATTAATGTATTTGATTCCATATTTACCTAATGTAGAGGAACTTGTACGGAAAGGTTTGGCGTCTCCCGACCCTGGTCCACTGACGGAACATCAGGAATCTGAAGAGGAGGAATACAACTCCGACCTGGAAAAATACGACAATGAAGGTAGTTGGGTATATAAACCACATAAACCACACAAAGAAGATAGGGATGTTACTGTTGGAGCAACATGTGGTTTTTGATAAACTTAGCGAAGTACTTTCCAAATTTATTTATTTTCTTTTGCAGAGAGTGAAAAGTCACAGAAAAGAAAGAAAGTGCCTGAAATGAAGTTACGTCCATACCAGTTAGAATTGGCGGAGATTGCGGACAGCGGTCAGAATACCATCATCTGTGCACACACTGGAACAGGCAAGACATGGGTCGCTCTACACGTCACCAAAGAACATCTGCTGAAGAACACCAACGGTAAGGAAAATTGAGTTCATGAACAAACAACATAATCCAAATTTATCCAATATACAAATAAAAATTATCTAGAAAGATCATTTTCAGGTCGTGTTGTTTTCTTGGCAAGAACGAACGCCCTTGTGGAACAGCAATATAATTTATTCCAAAAATACTTACCAGACAGAAAGGTAAACTTGTTTCAAAGCTCCCCTTAATTTTTTTTCTAACACACCTAAATAAAATCTCTGTCCTTTTTCCAATGATTAACAAGGTAATATTTTCCCCAGGTTTACCACCTACATACCGCAACAAAGGAGTGTTTAGGAATGCACTTAATTATTAACGACCACCACGTGTTCTTCATGACTCCACAAATCCTTCTGAACAATATCAACAACAAGCGAGTCAGTCTAGGGGAGATAACTCTTCTGATTCTTGATGAGTGTCATCACAGCAGGAAAAAAGAGCCCTACAATAACGTCATGAAGCACTACCTGGCCAGAAAAAGAAAAGAAGAAAACATCCCACAGGTTCTGTCTATAAGGATTTCATGTTAATGTTAACAAAATTAGAAATTAAAAATTAAAATTGAAAAAAATAATAAGAAAAAAAATTGCAATCACTAAATACATGTATTTCGATTTCTTATATTAATATTTATACATCAAATCGGTATTAATATATATAAAAAATTAAAAGACCTGTTATCTCTGTCTTAAAAGATTGTTGGATTGACCGCCACAATTGGAGTGGGAGATTCCAGTACTGAGGATGGAGCGTTACAACACATGCTTAGAATTTGCGCAAATCTGGACACTCTGGAAATATCCACTGTCCAAAGAAACCTGGAAGAGTTTCGGAAACATGTCGCTGTACCAAAAGAAGGTAGCATCGCTTAGCTTATGTTTTATAACTGATGTAAGGCATGTTCTTATTCATATTTCTTTTTTTTTCAGAAACAATAAAAATGGGACAAAAAGAAAAAGACCCACTGAAGAATCTGATACTGGATAACATAGCTCATATCGAGGCTTACATCGGAACGACTGACTGTTTGTATTTAGCAATACATTCTGATAAAAAAAAAAACATGATATTCAAATGATAACTCTCCAAACGTTTTCTAAAGTTTTCTTAGTTTTTTTTTAAAAAAGGGGAAAACAGTCTTAAGTTTTTAGATTTCTTTCTACCCAGTATTCATCTTCCTAAACAATAACAAGTACGGGTTTTTGGTATTGAATTATGTTCAAAAATGTTTGTTATACAGTGCATTTTTTATCTCGTATTTATTTAATCTTGTATTTAGTGATGAATAATAAACATCTGTTACCTATGTGGAATAAAAGGCCAGATAAGAAGGATGGAAAACACTACCAGAAATGGACTGTTCACTTCCGTAACAAGGTGTCATGTAAATTAAGAAACAATAAAGAACTGGTGCGAGTTATATACACTGCCATGACACACCTTGCAGTATGTATTACTAAATAAATATAACTACTTACAATATGTTATGTTTTGAATTGTAATACCTAAATTAAATTCAGATACTCGTCAAGTACAGTGATTTAAAAATTTTACCTGAAAAATAAGCAACTTTTTTGCGGGGTGCTGTTATCTTATTTATATAGATAGTGGTTTGCTAGTTGCCAAAATTTTTTTATCACTATAAATGTGTACCTTTGTATATAGGTACTGAAAGGTATATATGGAGATACCGTGCAGTATTCAGGCTCAAAGGTCCATTCAAACAATCCAATCTTCAGATAATTATGATAAATTAGTCTACACTGCTAATAAAACTTCAAGAGGAGCTTGATATTTTCTGATAAAAATTACGCAATGCATTGCAGTGTACATCAATATTAGATGATTGCCATTTGTATTGTCCTTCTTGATATATTATCTTCAGTGAAATACTGTTTTCCAAAGGGAGACAAAATCAAGCTTCTGGTGACGTATGTCAAGGAATTCTGTGTTCACCAAAAATTTAAAAAACCTGCTATATCACTGAACAATAACCCCCCCCCCCCAAATTTTAACATCTTCTTAAAAATCTTCTTCTTGCTTTAAATCACAAGCCATTTTTGGTGCAATGTTGTGATATAAATGTAATATCAAATGAATAATTAAATCGTAATTCCTATTTATAGATTCATTAGTAAGAACTCTCTTTTTTCTGATAGGCATACAACGAAGCACTGGATGTCAATTACCTGATGAACAAAGAACATGTTATTGAACACCTGGAGAGGAAATTTGAGGACGATCTCAAGACTCTGGACAGTGCAAGCGAAAAGGAAAAGGAGTTCCTTCTTATGATCACTGGTAAAATGATATCGGAATGCCCCTCTAGTATAGTGGCACGACTGCATTCCTAGCATTCTTCAGATTCTACATTTTATATTTCTTTCAAATTTCGATTTTTTTTTGTTTAAAAAAAATAGTATCTTTTTATATAAACCGTATTTTTCTCCATTGAGCTAGAAATAGTTTGGTATATGTTCTAATATTATGCGATATTCTATGATACCTTCTATATATTTTAGCATTTATTTATCCAAACACAACAGAATATAATTGAGAGTTCCAACAATTTTATTAACAATACTATTTAATATTTCACAACTTTGCCTTGAGGGCTCATGCAGCTTATACAAGATAGATTAAGTCCATCTCCCAGCATCAGAACCAGGTACTAGTTACATAACTGTAACAGTTGTTTACTCTGAATCCTGCAGGCTATGCAAGAAATGCTTGCCTAATATGAGGACCTGAGTGGATTGAAAATAGAGTAAACAACTGGAGTCTAATCTTAATTGGTAAGAAATGCTCACCTAAGATAGACGGCTTGCTCCAGCTTATGTAACAAGCACCTGATCCCAATGCTGAGCGATTAACTTCCCATAGTTGGGAGAAAATAATGAGATATATAAGTGTATATCATTATGTAAATGGCACATTATTGCTCATGAACCCTTTTATGTCTAGAACCATCAATAATTGGAAGGTGGAAGGGGTTGGTGGTGGTTACTGAACTGGAAAAATATAAACATCAACACTACAGGCACGCTGACTTCAGCTAATAGCGATTCCCTATTGGTTAATTTTATCACGTGGTTTACATGAGGTACAAAAGGGACACTGTATTATGCATAATAATGATACTGTATTTGGAAAAATAAACAATGATTATATACATAATCAAAATTTTATTTATCCAAACACAACAGAAGATAATTGAGAGTTCCAACAATTTTATTAACAATACTATTTAATATTTCACAACTTTGCCTTGAGGGCTCATGCAGCTTATACAAGATAGATTAAGTCCATCTCCCAGCATCAGAACCAGGTACTAGTTACATAACTGTAACAGTTGTTTACTCTGAATCCTGCAGGCTATGCAAGAAATGCTTGCCTAATATGAGGACCTGAGTGGATTGAAAATAGAGTAAACAACTGGAGTCTAATCTTAATTGGTAAGAAATGCTCACCTAAGATAGACGGCTTGCTCCAACTTATGTAACAAGCACCTGATCCCAATGCTGAGCGATTAACTTCCCATAGTTGGGAGAAAATAATGAGATATATAAGTGTATATCATTATGTAAATGGCAAAATATGCAGATGGTACAGCTGCATAGTCCCCAAGTATGGGATATAAGAATTTAGTAAAGGAGTGAAAATGTGGACGTGAGACAATTAAAGATGGATCCAGACATATTAGATTAAACTATGAATACATTGAATCTTTACATCGATAAAACAACATACATAAGTGATTTTCATCTGATAGAGTGCATGTCCTGTATGTATCCTATAAAAATGAACAACATCAGAAAGGTCTAATATTAGTAGTTTAACGTGATGAAACAAAATGTAAATATGCATAATTTCACTTATCAATAACTTCATCTAATATCCTGTATGAATGTAGAGAGTTCCTGTACATAAACTTGACATGTAAGCTAAAATCAGTTTTCTAAACATCAATCATATGTACACATCAACCTTATCTAGGACATTTTATCTGAATGAAAACTAGTAGCCATACTAATTTGTGCTTCTCTAACTACATTAGTTGGTGTTCTTATATACCTAGTATAACAGTCCGATGACCATCTGCCTAAAGTTTTAATAAGATGGTCTTCTATTCTAGCTGATGCCGCAGATGTTGCTGCACCGATACGAAATGAGTGACCACTGTATTTCTCAGAATCAAAACCTAGAATTTTTAAGATATACTGCAAGTGTTCAATAAAGTATGATCTTGTTACAGGGAGCTTATCTTCTGTAACGAAAAGAGCTTCTTTAGGTCCAGCATAGCATAATTTTCTCACCTGCATGTATTTACACATAGATTTTACTGGGCATACCTTTGTGTCATTTGAGTATAATACAATACTTGAACCCTTGTGAAAATGATCTGTTTTAGAAGTTTTCAAAAATATCTTAACACAATCTTTGTGAATTTGGACATCTTCACAGCATAAATGACAGCATGGATCAAATTTCTTTTGTATTGTCAGTTCACCACAACGGAAAAATCCGAAAAAAGCTGTTACATACATAGCTTCTAACAAAACATTGGTATAATATTTAAACAAGCAATTCCTCAAAACTGTACAAATTCTTTGTAGTATGTGAGCTGTAATAGGCAGTCTGACCTTATTTTTAAATTGATCTTTACTTTGCACTTTTCTAATTGCATTTAAAATTAACTTCAATCGTTCCATTGAGTGACATTTAGACTGAAAAGGGTTTGGAATTCCCATTTCTAAAAACATGTATCTGATTCCACACAAATATAATCTTATTGTAGAGAATTTAAGCAACAAGTTATGTTGACAATATGCTACAAAATGTACAAGAATATCTTCAGATATGGGTGGACATTTAACATAATAAACAACACCATGTATTGAAAGGAAATGTTTATATGTCTCAAAACCCTGTTTGTAAGTTGATCTAGTTCTTTCTGTCACGGAATTGTTCATCAGTTTTTCAACCACTTGTCCGAGTTCCAGATTACTTCTGATACCGGTGGGCAGACCATCGGAGTTTTCTCTGCTTGAGGAGCCGCCTGCCTGAACTTCTCCAGCTGTAAGCGAGACAAAGAGTCAGCGATAATGTTTTTAATTCCTGATACGTGTTCGCTATAAATATCAAAGTTATAAAGAGCAGCACAAAAGCATAGAGTTCTCATCAAAGATGATATTTGTAGATCTGAGGATCGACGTTTCCGGATAATATCTACAACTGCAGCATTATCGCAATGGAAAAGAATCCGTTTCCCTTTCCAGTCCTTCCCCCAGATAATAGCTGCAATGACAATAGGATATAATTCGAGAAAAGCCTGGACGGAGATTGTTTATGAGTATTAAGTTCCTTTGGCCACTTTTCTGCAAACCATTTTCCTCTGTAATATCCCCCGAATCCTACTGTAGATGAGGCATCGGTATACAATTCCATGTCTGCGTTACTTATCAGCTTGGATTCATAAAACACTGAAACACCATTCCAGTGCTTTAAAAAATGTAACCACATCTGTAGGTCTTCCTTGCTAGCTTGTGTAAACTTAACATAATAATGAAGTTTTTCTACCTTTGTAGACAACTGGATAAGATAAGAGGTGAAAGCTCTCCCAGGTAACACAACTCTCGCTGCAAAGTTAAAGTGTCCTAATAACTGCAGTAATTGTCTCTTCGTCACTGAAGACTGTTTCAGGAAATCCATTATGAAATTACATATCCGTGTGATTTTTTCCTGGGGTAAGCGTGCTTCCATTTTTTTCACTGTCAAGGATGATTCCTAAGTATTCCAGTTCCGTTGTAGGACCCACTGTTTTCTTCAATGATAATGGTATGTTGAATCTTTTAAATAAAGTACACAACAAAGCCATGGTCCTTTCTCCAATCACGTCAGGTTCGTCAATGGTAAGAAAATCATCTAACAAATGAAAAATATTTTTAATTCCATAATTGTTTTTTGCAATCCAGCAAATGGCTTGTGATAAATGATCAAATATTTTCGGTGAACTTCTACTTCCAAATGGTAATCTAACGAAGTAGTAGAACAAATTTTTCCATTTCACACACAACATAGGCCAAAATCTTGGAGCTACTGGAATCAGCTTAAATGCATCACATATGTCTGTTTTGCACATGATAGCACCTTTTCCCAATTCTTTAATTCTTGTTATTGCATCATCTATTCTAACATATTTCAAAGAGCATTTGTCTTTGTCAATCAAATTATTTACACTGTCAATTTCCTCATTATCATGTGGTGAAGATAAATCCAAAATAAGGCGTTTTTTCCAAGAGTATTTACCCGTAGCCAGTCCTAATGGACTTACTCTGTATTTTGGAAAATCGAGTGTTTGGAACGGTCCTTTCACAAATCCTTTCTGAACTTCTGTCTTCAAAAGTTCGTCAACAGTATCTGGGTTTTCCTTAGCTGACTGTAAATTCCTACACTCATATGAATTATCTAGACTTGTACTATCACCCATAAAAATATCAAATCCATCTCGTAGTCCACCAATTAAATAATCAACGAATTCTCTGTCTGGGTGATTACTTAATTCAAACTCTAGTCTATCTGTATTAACTGGTGTAGTGGCTTTAAATTCATCCCGTTCTTGCTTTTCTAGTCACTGTGGAGTTTTTTGTTTCTTTGTTTTATCATCTAGCATCACATTTGTGGTCGTGGTCTTCTCGGCGTTTAAACTCGGACACTTTTGTTTTCCATGTGAAGTAGACATGCAGTGAGCACATACATGTGCTCTTCTGCAATAAGGTACTGTACATCTGTTTGAATTGTAGTTGTTGCAAATTTGCCTACCTTCGTGATATGCTATATTCCTATCATACTTGTCTTTTCTTTGATAACTCTGGTAACTTCGTTGATGCTTGTTGTCATCCGAATTCTCTACGCACATACTAGATGTGTGGGTGGTCGAGGAGCAAATATTACACTTGCTGACTTCAGCACCTGCTACTACACGCTTCAATATTTCATCGTCTCCTTTGCTCCAGTTTGTTAGAACATTGTTCTGTTTTAGGGCAATGGCACATTTGGCAGCAAACAGTTTATGATACTCAAAAAATTTCGTTGGCCAAACATTGTGTACCTCTATAATATGTGCCAAGTACATGTCCAGTTCCTCTTGTCTCCAAGGGTATGTGACACACATAATCCGTTTGTATCTACTGAAAGCAGTGACAAACTCGCTCATGTTTAAATTTCTATTTAGTCTTTTATCAGTTTTCTCCTGTTCCTTTTTGGGAGTCTCATACGCTGGAATAAGTAGAGCGCACATGTTTACATCTTCACCTCGTAGTATTTTTTTCCGAATATCGGAGGAGACCAGATCCACATGGCCTACATCTTTCGATGGGACCCCTATGCTTGAGTGCTCACTAATATTAACTGAATTGATCGTACCTGAAGCTGAATTCGTGTGAACTTGAGCAGCATATTTCTTAAGAGGGTTATCGTCCTCCGTCTCTGCGTCTTTCTTGTTCTCTTTCGCTAATAACGTATTAACCGTCTGTTGCAAAGCTGCGCATGATTGCGCCATACTTTGCAAAGTCTGTAGTAGAACACCATCGTTATTTGTATTCGTGACTGTACTTTCGCCCAATGTTTGTAGGGGGACGCCATTGTTTGTTGCGTCACTTCCGCCCAATGATCCTTCATGCGAGTTTTCGCGCCTTTCTGTTACCTCACCTTTGTTTACGTTTTCATTGTACAGCTGTCGCAAGGTTGCGGCATTGAATCCTTTCGGAACTTGAATTCCTAATTGTGTCAGTCTTTCACTTAATTAGGCAACAGTCCAACTCAAGGGATTGTCCATGTCAAGAACTGTAGCACTGCTTTCTACGGCAGAAGTAGAAACCACCTGGTCAGGCCTTTGCCTTGTCGCATTTCTCCTTGCAGCCCTCGGCATACTGAACGATTCACAAATTCGAAATTACTTAATTATCACTGTGTTGCTATCTTAAAATGCAGACAATCCAATATTTAACACTATAAAATAATTTATAAGTCAACACACATCGATAGGTACACGGGTTTCATATTGCACATTTCGAATTATTGTAGATAGAAATATCCAAACATAAAATGAGTTAAATTAAATCCGAAGCAAATGTTCCTGCACTAGTCACATTTATCACATAGTCCAAAACGGTAATAATAAAGAAAGATTGGTATAATTACTGAACTGGAAAAATATAAACATCAACACTACAGGCACGCTGACTTCAGCTAATAGCGATTCCCTATTGGTTAATTTTATCACGTGGTTTACATGAGGTACAAAAGGGACACTGTATTATGCATAATAATGATATTGTATTTGGAAAAATAAACAATGATTATATACATAATCAAAATTTTGTTTCATAGAATATATAAGAGTACCGGTATATATTTAAACAATGAAGGACATGGAGATAACGAACAGTATTCAATCTCAAAGTCCATAAAACAATACAAAATAAGAGCAGTGCAAACACGGACCCCCGAAACATCAGATTTTGGATCAGGTGCCATGGAAGAGTGAACAATATAAAATAGTAAATAAATTTAGTTTAATAGCTAATTATTATTAATAAATACAGCTCAACTTGTATATTTAAACGCACTTGCTCGATTCTTGACGTTCGTCCTAGGGTAAAGATCAGTTGAAAACATTCAGGTTAATACAATGCATACTCAATCGTACATTTATTTCAGAGTTTTGTAAGAAGGTTGAGAAAATGGAAGTTGAGATAAACCCGTATCTGAGACTAATGAGAGACAAAGTTGTGGAATTGGTCAGTGAATATACGGAGATAAAAGGAATGGTATTTGTTCAGACCAGAGCTACAGCGTTTGCCCTCGCTCAGTATCTGACTGGGGAACTGGGGTCCTTTGGAGGATTAAAGGCTGGGCCCTTCACGGGAACTAACTCATCAGAAACCAGCCGAGGTATAAAAGTTTTGTGGGCAGTCTGAGGTGTAGATGAATGTTAAATATATTTATATAACACATGTACAGTTTTGTGAATAAACTTGTTTTTAATAGGAAATATCTTGGTCATTTCATAAAAAAATAAAGAATCTCATATTTCTTAATTATATTGTCCATGTCTTTCAAATCAAAAGTAATGCTTATGCTATTTTTCAATTTTAAACAAAACATACAGGTATGCCCGATTCACAGAAAAACGAAACATTGGATAACTTTAAGAAAGGAATCCTTAATGTACTGGTGGCGACCTCTGTCGGTAGTGAAGGAATTGATGTTCCAGACTGCAACTTTATAATAACCTACAACTACACTGGAAACGAGGCTAATGTAATCCAAATGAGTGGTAAGACTCCTCACGGATTTCTTTCTACCACATCATTACATCTGACATCATTATACCCCCCGCTTTAAAAACAGAAGGGTATATAGTAATCGTTATGTCCGTCTGTCCGTCCGTCTGTCTGTCATTCCGTCCGTCTGTCAGTACGTCCGTCTTTTACCCTTTGGGGTACCCATCTCTTATCCGCGATTCCTCTTATACCACTGAATGAAATTTGATGAAACTTTCACAGAATCTTTATTACATATTGCCATTATACACCTTCTATTTTACTTTTTGATCCGACACAGATTTTGGGTTTTCCTTAGCAAAACATGTACCCTGCCATTATATTCATATGGGAGGTTGGGGTATCATTTAGTGAGCTCATTGCTCACAGTACATCTAGTTTAAACAGTACTGTAGATTCCTAATTATACGCGAGGAATTAATAATCGCGTAATTTCGCGAGAAGCATCATACGCGAAATAAAAATACTCGCTTTTATTTTTAAGGTGCTGAAATCCATGGAAATTCTCCTGATCAATCAACCATTTGCGAATAATTATTCTCGCGATTTGACGTTCAAGAGCTATTTCGTGATAATAAGTGCTCGCGAAAAATATGGAATCTACAGTAATACAGAAGCCATTCATTTAATTTCAAATGAATAAAGAAAATGAAGACAAATTTTAAAACTCCCTTTAGGGTTTCGAAATTTTCGGCGGGCTGCAGTTTGAGTTTTTATCTGATTTATTTTCCCATATATACACTAATTGGTGTTTTTTTGTTACTTTGTTAGGTCGTGCTCGCCAGCAGAGTTCCACAGTTGCACACATATCCGATCAAGCGATTCAAAAACGGGAGGAAATCAGTTTACAGAAATCTAAGTTAATGTACGAAGCCTTCAGACGGCTCAACTCGATGCTTCCAAATGATCGAAGACGTAAGATCCTCAAATATCAGGAGGAGATACGTGTAGATGGTGATCTTTTTTCTTTGGGGGAAGATACCCACAAGGTCAAAAAGCCATTCCGTCTGATTTGCTTTAAATGTCATGCAGATGCAACGAACAGCGAAGATTTGAGAATTTATGTTGGTCAACACCGTGTAGTGATAAACCCAGAGTTTCGGTCTCGCTGCGACTTTGATAAAAGTACAACTCCCTCCAGGTACACCATTTCCACGATAAAGTGCACCAAATGCAAGCTGAAGTGGGGGACAACTTTCAAGATTGACGAGTTTGAGATTCCAGTGCTGAAGGTTGCAGCATTTCTATTCGACACTACTGGTGAAGAACCAAGGAAGATCAAGAAATGGGGCCGTGTCGATTTTTTCATTGAAAGCATTAATAAGTCAGATCTTTTGGAGATGTACAAAGAAACAGTGGATGTTGAAGAGGCTGAAGAACAATAAACACCTACTAAAACTAGTATCACAAAACTGCAAAAGTCCTAATCAGAGAACCGCAAAACATTACATGTAAACATGACACGTTAAGCACTTTATTTGTATAAATGTATGCTTATTTTTGTATCGAGTTGCAAATATTTTGTGATCTTGAAAAGTGTAATTTACTATTAAAATGGTACAAGAGAAAATGTCTGAAGTTGAAATGTTTTATTAGAAATTGGATACTTTGTACAAAAACCATTAGGCTTGTTTTGAATGTCATATTATTACTTTTATTCATATATAAAATATATACAAAAACGGTACTTTGTTTAACTCAAAGAAGTTCTTTTTCTCAAAAGATAGAGATTGTTTCCCTTAAATTAAGCTATCTCTAATCGAGGTGAAACAGCTTTTGTTTGTTTATTCAACGTTCCTTTCGAACACTTTGCAAGAGACTATAGCAAAGGTGCTAACCACTATACCGTGCGGAGGAATTGTTAATTTAAATACAAAAATTCGATGCTTGAAGAAAAAGTATGGGAATCAGGAACTGTAATTAAAGTACTCAGAAGTACTGAAAACCGGGCTCTTATTTATATGTAATTTACAAGGACCGTGGAGACGGCTTTAAAATCAAGTTGATTTGCAAAGGATTTATATACACAAAAATATCTCAATGGCATGTATAGTATTGAAAAGCTTTAAAAATTGAATAAAATATAGCTAGAAATTAACAGCGTAAAATATTTATCACATGTATCATTTCGGGGTACGGTTTTATATACTCTCAGAAGTAAAAAAAAAACATGGATGCATTTTAGATTAAATAAGTTAAAACATCTGCGCTGATGTGTCCTAAACGGGGAGTTTTTTCATTGGCAAACATTAATGATGTTCCCCGCACTTGTGTTAGCCTGATAGTTCAACCTTTATTTATATGTAATATGACGCAGACAGGGGAACTTCTAGAGTGAAAAAATTCGCACCTTTTGAATTGCTTTGTAAACATATGAATCAAAGGATTTTTGGAAAAATTTTAAACAAAAATATTTTGATAAAAATATTCGAAAAACGTATTTCTTAAGGTGTTTGAATGGATTTTGTTTTACAAAAACGGCTAATTCATTACAAAATAAAATTTATTATTTGAAGCTTATTTGGCGGTGAAGAAGCAGCATTTCATATTTTAAAATTCATTGATGTGCCTAGAGCGGTTTTAATTTTATGGCGCTAGTCCACGAACTTTTTGATACCCCCTCGTATAATTTATTCCATATGCCTGGTATATATCTATGCTAAGAAAGTTAATGTTGGCCATTTTATTATTTTCTAATGAAATAGTTGAAAGCCACAGCACAGTTTTTATTCAATATCCAATGAAACAAATACAAAATACAAAAATTCTTAAATACGGACGTCTGAAACAACAATGCAAAATTAAATGCCATGGAAAAAAACGCAATTTCTGCATTTATTCACACCATATTGCCCTAATTTTTATGTCAATTTTCGGAAAAATCCATTTAGACAACTGAGTGTGTAAATCATGACCTAAAAAAGATAGGAACTTTTCGTACCCTTTGATATATTTTGTAAATCATTTTTACATAATTAATACCTCATCGCATACTTACGACGTAATTAAAGCTTTAAGTGCATTTTCTTAACAATAAGCCTTTTTTGGTCTTTGTGCTCTAATTTTTTTTAATGTCGAAACTGATCTAGACCGTTACAAGTGTATGAATGATCCCGTTATTTGAAGTAAGGATATAAGAAGACCTTACTCATAGACAAAAGATTACGCAAGATAGGTGAACAAAAACCTCAACATTATGATAACAATAACGTGCAGTCATCAGATAATTATTTTGCAAAAATACAATGCCTTCTGAAAAAGTGGGCTTCTTTTATGAAACTGAACTACTTTTGTAAGGTATGTAATGTTTTTCATAGTTACTTTCGATATATGGATAAATAATTAACTTCTCTTGCCGCCCAAATCATGATCCAATCGATGGCCGTGATTTTGATTTTATGTAATCATCAATGGCGAATGTTTCAAAAGTTGTTTTGAGTGTCTATCCTCTTAGGTATGTTATTAGTATAAAATGTACTTAAGCTAAGTTTATAAATGTTTATTATTCAGAGATTTTGTTTTCTTTTTATATTGTTTTATTAGATTACTGTACTTAAGCTTAGATTATTAACTTTTATATATATCATGTCATTTAATACGTTTTATTTTTAGATTACCTGAGTCAGGTGATTTATTGTTATCTAGTTGTAAGGCTATGAATATTATCAGCTTCTTCTGTTGAACCATATTGAACCAATTTACACCATTTATAACGTAGTCGGTATTGCATGTTTCGTTCAAGGGGAACAAAAATTTGTGAAATTCGTTTTATTAACAATTTTATCATAAATAAACGCAACTATCAAAAGAAAACCAACCTTTACATATCTATTTATCCATATTTACAAGTTTTCATTCCCGGATTCTAACTAATGTTTTTCTAACACAATCGGCAATCCTCGGCTGACTCCGCTATGCTCCATTCGCTCCATTTCGAGCCTCCAGATCCTTCTAGAGTTATTTGCTCAAAATTTATATCCGGGATGGAATACTTGTGAAAATGAAAATGGATAAACAACACGTAAAGGTTGGTTTTCTTTTGACAGTTGAGGTTTTTTATGTTGAAATTGTTAATAAAACACGTCTGTTACATATAATCAGACATATTTCAGACAAAATGTTAGTCGAAGTGTAGGTCGTCACTGGTTCTACATTTAAACGTTTTAAAGAATCAAAAGTGGATGTAGGCGATAGCCTATTCACTTCTCCATAAGGAATATCCATATTGGGACAGTGTTGATCTTACATCAAAATACATTGTTCTTTAGAAAGTTTCAAGCACTCAAAGTCGCCTGAAATTCTGTACAATATATTTGCCTAATAATAATAAAACTATCATTTCTCTCAACAGTTTTAAAATTTACCCCTGCCCAAGTCTCAGGCTGCATGAAGTCTTAAAGGCTTGTAGGCCTTTTGTGAGTAGAATAACATCTGAAAACGTCTTAACTCTTTGAAATTGGTAATGTTTGCATTTCCAGTTGAAAGAACGATTCTGAAATCCTAATATATTCATTTTTTAAAGTAGAGGGGTCACAAACTTAAAAGGCTAAACATTGACAGATCGGTAGTCTCCAGAAATTCTTTGGAAAAGCAGGACAGAAATTCTTTGACAAGCAAAAAAAAAAAAAAAAAAAAGGAAAGTTCCCCAAATCGAAAATCCTATTTCTTGGGGGAGGTGATAAATTTTTTTTGAAATTTTTTGTCCATTTTTGTCATTTCATTTAAACAACTATATATTGATACTATTCAAAATAGCTGTTATTTTGTTACAGATACATGAATGATTCCATTATTTAAAGAAAGGATATTAACAGAACAGCACGGTTCTTACAACAGATTTAATCACACAATTATTCCTCTGTATCATATTTATATGATCTTCTGATTTATCATGCCTATTACCTAATCCAAAAATGGGGTTTTTAAAAACAAGTAAAATGATATTTGAGGACATATATATCTTCAAATATTTTATATTATGGATTGAGTTACACATTTTTATTCTTAAAGCAATATTTTTGTTTCACATTGCGTATGCATTGGATAAATTTCACACGTTTTTAAAAGAATAAATGAAAAATTTTCAACAACTCTCTCAATCAATATTTTTAATTGAAAAAAATTAATGGAAATCTTTCATTTTGACAATAAGCTGTAGAAATACCAAATGCCGAAGTACGCGGTATTCTCGTACACGCTATCATTAATTATAATTACGTCAAAAGCGTTTTAGAATCTAAATAAGTAAGGATCAATAAAGAAGTCAATTGACTTTTGTCCTGTATGTCCTTTAATTGATATTTTCAAGTTTACATTAATGTTAGTTTATAAATCATTGTAATACTTTTGTCATTAGAGTGGATAGTAATTGGCTTGAGTTAAATTGTCGTGCTAGATATGGGAGAAGAGGTCAGGCCATGGCCCGTTGTTTGTGCTATTGATTTTGGGACTACGTATAGTGGATTTGCTTATTCAATGCGGACAGATTACGAGAGAAACCCTTTGGAAATCAAGTCCAATCCAGTCTGGTTCAATGAAGAAGCAGGCACTCTTAAAACTCCAACATGTATTCTTTTCGACAAGTCTGGAAAATTTCATTCTTTTGGTTATGATGCTGAGAGAAAGTATGCCTCTTTGGCCGAGGAAGCTCAGTCAGAACAGAATGATGACGTCAGAGACGAAGAGGTCAATAGCAGCGAGGACGAAATGAGAAAGGATAGAACAACAGAAGATGGTTATAATGACTGGCTTTTCTTCCGGAGATTTAAAATGGAACTTTACAAGGGTTCGGGGAGGGTAATGTCCACTTCTGTTAAATTTGAGATAATCATTATGTGAAATTATGAAGACGAAAAATGGAGTAAGAAACTCATCTGTTTCTAATCAGATACAACAACATATTCTTTAATTTGGAAACTGACAATTCATGAAATTTTCCCCAAAAATTTTCATAAAAGTTTTTAACGCATGAAGAAAATGCTTAAAAGAGAAAAAAAACTAGAAAGATAACGGCAATCAAATGTTAAAAGAAAGACTTTTTATTTCTGTTCTTTCATAACAAGGGCCCTGATAACACTTTTTTCAGATACGAAATCAAAAGTTGAAAAACTTGAAATTGGAAGCAGAAAATGGAAAGAAATTACCAGCCTTAAAAGTTTTTGCGGAGGCCATATTTTTTCTTAAAAAGAAGTTTGAAGATTTACTAGAGAAAACTACTTTGCGACAGGAAAATTTTACAAGCACCCAAGTGAAATCAGAAATGACACACAGAGAAAAAGGTTCAAATTGGACTTTATATGATAGTTAATAGATATATCAATATAATTAAATATAAACATTTATATATCTTCGAACCAAAACCAAACTTTTATAGAGAAATCAAACCCATTATAATAAAAAAGAGAAATATTCATTATATAAAAACATAAAATTTGTTTTATATTATCAATGCACATCAACTGAGAAAACAAATAAAAAAATTATACAGATATTGAAATACATGTATATATTAAAACAAGAAAAACAGTAATTACATCAACACATGTAATATATTACAATGTAATGGTATAAATGATTATATTTCAATGTAATGGTAGGGAGATCACACCAATTGTATGAATGGGTATAAAACTTAAACAAATGTACAACAGGTGTAGAAAAAGAAGATTTGTCGTGGTCTACAGATATTCTATGGGTACTCACTGTTCCTGCTATTTGGTCAGATGAAGGCAAACAGTTCATGAGAGAAGCTGCTTTACAGGTATTTATTTTTATTGGTTATAAAGACTTCATAAACAATTTATAGTTAAAATCAGAGGCACACCTCCTATTTTACTACAGGTTTCCCAGCCACAGCAAAACATGGTCTTTGGCATTTTAACCATATGGGAGGCGGGGTATTATTTAGTGAGCTCATTACCACAATACTTCTAGTTTTTCATTGGTTATAAAGACTTCATAAACAATGTATGGTCAAAATCAGGGGCACACCGCTTACAGGTCGTTATGACGTTTCATAAATGTTGCAGTACTATGTCTCTTCAAGAATTAAACTTCTGAATGCAAATAAATGATTGATTTTATTTAGAAAATACGATGAATTGTAAGAAAGAGCAAGCCCAATCAAGTAGGTATCATCTACTCCAATAAAAAGAATCAACAGTACACTTTTTTTGAGGCGCTTGTATCTTTTCTGTTAACAGTCACACGGTTTATAGCATTTGATGCTTGACTGCATCCTACTTTGTTGAACATGTTGAAGGTTGGTATCAAAGACGAACACTTAGTTTTGGCGTTAGAACCGGAGTCGGCAGCCCTTCTGTGTAAACAACTTACTCTGACAAAAGAAACCTATGCAATCAACACCAAGGCGTTTGAACCTGGTAAAAAATTCATGGTTGTGGACTGTGGAGGTATTTATGTTGAATTTTAACGAGCACAAATTTTCAATTCAGAATAATTTGACTAAGTAGGGTACACAATGTTCAAAAGATAAAGAGAATATGATAAATTGACTCATTTATCAGACATGTAGGTATCACTCTAGATATTCAGAATTCAGGAGTCTTATTTTATATTACTTCAATAGGAGGTACTGTTGATGTAACAGCATATGAAGTGAAAAGCAATGGAAACTTGCAAGAACTTCATTGTGCCTCAGGGGATGCAGTAGGAGGTACTAACGTTGATGAGTTATTCGTCAAGCTAATGAAAGATATATTTGGAGAGGACGTAATTAACAAGTTGAAGAAAAAAGCACCCTATGATTGGCTAGAACTCTTAAGAAGTTTTGAAACAAAGAAACGTGGGATGGGAAAAAGAAATCTTCAAGAAGAGAATACGGTGCAGATAACTTTCTCGAATATGGGGGTCCTCTTCAGTATCTTCGAAAAGGCCAACAAGAAATCAGTTTCTTCGCATTTAATAGAGATAGGATTAAAAGGAAAAGTTAGTACGCGTTCAAAATTTGCGAAACTTTCGTTTTCTGAAAACTATTTAATGGAGTCTGTTTTTGATAGTCCCATTAAAAAGGTTGTACAGCATTTGAATGATCTTTTTAAGAACAAAGATGTTGCTGAAATTGATACAGTTTTACTCGTTGGTGGGTTTTCCGAATGCCCACTAGTACTTAATGCAGTGAAGAATCAGTTTCCAGACAGAAAAGTAATAAATCCCACAGATGGAAGTATTGCAGTGATGAAAGGCGCTGTTTTGTTTGGACATAGTCCTGAAGGGAGGATGCGAAGATTTCTAAAGGAAGGACGCCATCTACCCGATATACAAGGCATCATACGGAAAAGCACAGCTTATTATGGCATCGCAACAGATGTCCTTTTCATTGAAGGCGAACATCCCGAAAGTCATAAATTCTATAAAGAGGGAGGAGAAATTGTATGCACAGATCTGTTCCATTGCCTTATAAAGAAAAACCAAGAATTGGAAATGGGAAGACCCACTATAGAAAAGATTTTTTTGTCTTCCACTTCTTGTTTGGCAAATGTTGAAATATATCGTTCCAACGATGATGTAAAATACTGTACTGACGAAAGTTGTACAAAGATTGGAGAATACCCTGTAGAATTTTCAAAGGATTTCATTCCTAAGGGTCTCCGAAAGTTTAAAATTCAACTTTACTTAGGGTTAACTGAGCAAATAATTGTAGCTAAGGACTTGACGACAGATAGAATATGGAAAGTTAATTGTGATAGTTTAAACGAACTAAAGCCACCTAAACAAGGGCTTCAGTCACTGTCCAGATTCCAATGATAACTCTGCCCTACCCAACAATATAAGAACGGATCGTACATTTCTACAATGCATCTTATTACATACTGTACAATATTTCCATATGTTTCATTTAAAGCAATATGAGCTGCGTGTTTGACATCGGAAAAAATTATTGCAATTTTGTAATTAACTAATTTAACGACAGAAAAATAAATCATTCATAAACTTCTGATGTTTATATTTGCGATGGAAAATATCTGTTATTAGCTTTGATTGAAGCAAAATTGAATTATTGTCGTCCTGTACAATAATGATTTCTTATATAAAACTGTATATTTGGTTGTACAGAAATATTTATTCTGAACATTCTAAAACTTTATTTTGGGCTTATTGGTCATAAGGGTTTAAATTACATACAAATTAATCGTAATAGCACATTTTACCAGCAAAATAAAATTCTCAAAGATACAGCTCATATTGCTTTAGAAGCCAAGCAGGTATATAGACAAATCATGACTAAAACAAAACTATTCCAGAGAATTACCTAGAAATCGTATCCACTTGTTTTATATCGAAATTTATTTTGATTTCTTCCTTGAGATTGTGTCCTTTCTGGAAAACTATCCCAATGTTAGACTTTTAACTTAATACCTTTCTTCGTTTTTATAATATACGTACTCACTGTTACTAAAACATACATGTAAATATTGTTATTAGCAAAGCAATGTTTAAATAAATTGAGAATAAAAATACAAATGTAAAAAGGTTAAAAAAAAAAGTACAGATTTGAATGCTGAAGACTTTTTGGCGAAAAAAATAAATTGAGTCTTTATTTTTTCAAATTTTATTTTGTTGTTGTTTTTGTTACAATTTCTTATTCCTTGGTAATTATCGTGTATTATATATTGGTCTTTTTACACTTACACTTACATGATGGCATGAAGTCCGACTCTACAATATCAACGAAAGATATATTTCTTACATATAAAAGGGAAGCTATCCTTCCACAAGTTACTCCCTCTCGCTCACCAGGCTCCGCGGCAAATAAACTGAGACGAGCTAACTTTTGATCTAAGTCTCACAATTCCACTATATAATCCTTTTTGAAAAAGTGAGACTTAGAGCAATAGTGAGCTCACTTCAGATTTATGGCCCCGGAGCTTGGTGCCTCAAAAACCGTGAAGCATCAATTTCTTGAAACTTAAGCTGTACGTCAACGCATGGTATCTGCTGTCATTTCCTTTCTCGTATTTATTGAATTGAATTAGCTTCCTACATTATATCAGTGAAATCAACAAGTTCAAGATTATTCCCAGATTACAAAATATCTTTTCCCTCTTGTAAAGACATCTCATCTCTCAAAGAATTTGCAGTCCCTGTCTCTACATTCATTTGAAAATGTGATGGTGAAAACCAGAGTGATGATAAAATGAATTCTTGTAATCATCTACTTCAAATGTGGTTTTGTAATGAAATAACACTTATGTAAAGATTTAACATTGTGTCAGAATTCGTAGTTCATTACGATTATCATTATCAATGTTTCTTGAGAGTTATCTCTCTTTGTGTTCTTCTTGGTTGTCAGGGAAGTAAACAGGCATGGGACAATGATTTTATTTTATCATCGAAAAAACCACTTGACAAAAACATTTTTAGCATAAAGTATCATATTTTTGAATGAGTTACAGTACGTAACTCATGAGACATATTTATTATATTTAAAAATATCAAAAAATTAATTCTTCAAAAAGGTCATTATACAGTCATGTATCTTTTAAAGTCAAACAAAGCAAATTCTAAATCTTCAACTTAATACTTCATGCAAAAAATAACAAAGTAACAAGCAATGTTAATAAGAGTAATGAACAAATAAACACATTATTTCAATAAAACACTCAAAATATATTGCTAATAAATTCTAAAGTAACATCTTTAAAACAGTCGGAATCTACTGGTATCACTTATTTTTAACAGAAATGGTTAATCAAGTTTTATTCATTCAGAAAACTATCATATATTTGTGCCTGCTGTTCAATCCACTTCAATCTAATGAATAAAATATATTTTAAGCTAAAGTCTTCATTCAAGAAGTGGTGTGAATCAGATTTGGATACTCAAAAATTCCAAAGAACTTCCTAAGAACAGCTTAAAAATTTACAACTTTTCAACTTTATACACAACATAAATTAAAGTCCAGGCTTTTTGATATCCTTAACAGGTGCTTTTTTTTTTAAATGAAACTCGTAAATTTATTTACTTGGTTATTGGTCATTTGCAAAATTATTTTGTTAAAACACTTTCTGATTGCACACACAAGTACTCTGAAGTTGACATCAAAAAGATGCTTGAATTCCTGATGGACAATATCTATGTGGTGTTTGGAGACTAGGTCTTCCAACAATCTATTGGAATTCCTATGGGTACCAATCGCGCTGTGTTATTACCAAACCTATTTTTACTCAAGCCCAAGAGGGGCTTGAGTTATCTAAAACGATGCTAGGTCATCGATTTACTCAGTATAAATACACGAAAAGATATTAGTTTTGTAGATAAAAATATTTCTAGAGACAAAAGTGAAGCTTATCTTGAAAAAGTCTGTATATTCAAAGATATTAAGCGTTAAATGTCGGATTCTATTCTATGGCGAATGAACAATGAGTGAAGCTCCGCAGCCGCAACAGTTTCTATACAGAGATTTTGCGCTTTCCTTTGCGTAGGAATCTCAGGTAACTTTTATAGTCGCCGACAAAGCATCATTGGACGAGTCCACTGTTTACTCTGAAAGGTGAAGCAGGTTACCCATCGTTAACAAATTCTATATATGGCCAGAAAATGTATGGCTGTACCCCCATACTGAAATTGCTTCTCACGGGCCTTAGAATGATGTCCAGGTGCGCTTTGAGTGACAGTAAAACAGTAAAATAATAGCACAAAATTAATGATAAATTCTACCTCATACATTTTTTTTTTAAAATCGTACTAGTAGTTATCTTCAGCTTTGGTAACGGAACCTTTATAACTTCTTTTGGATTCGGATGGAATATGTATTAGACATGCCGCACAGCTAGATGAACCCGCGTAGTCATGTAGATTTTTTGAAGCCCGCCCCCCCCCCCACCCCCTTTTCACTTAGAAAAACGGTGTTACATGTAGGCTTGTAACATGTTATTTGGATTGATGTATATTAAATGTTGTGATGTACGCCATTAAGCAAATATACAAAAACGTATAATATATAGTTTGAGGTATATCAACACAAAAAAATATTTCATTAAATTAAGAAACGGCCACTATGCTCCATAAAATATTCCTAAAAGTGAAAAACGTAAATTGATCTTAAAAAGTGGTACGATTTAATATATTCATTCTAAATTAAATTAAGGACAGACGAGACGTTCCTTAATAATAGATAAATTTTTCTAAGAGTTTGTCATTAAAGTATTGCTACTAAAACATGTTTACTCACAAAAAATTGAGGTACCTTACCAGGCATTTCTGCAAGATACCAGGGTAGTCTAGTCAAATTATCAAATTTTCCATCAAAATGTGAACTAATTGCAACAGTTTCAAAACTTAGTTTTAATCAATCTATGATATGATCTGAATATATAATAAAAAGTTTAGAAAATTTTATACATGGGAAAATTGAAAAATTGAGGTCATTATTGGGACGTATTGTGTTCACTCTGATTAAGTGTTAAACGAACAATGTAAAGTAGAAACTTCTATACTGGTTTAAAAAAAAACATGTAAGTAGGGAAATAACTGAATAAACTGAATTGGAAATATATTAAATTTTGGTTACTATATGTGTTGGTTGCCATGGAAACAGTATAAATTGAGAATATCACCTACTTTTGAACAATGAACCTTTACAAACACGAATACAGTCACTACGTTAGTTTACACACATACTCAAAATGCACTCTTTTGCCATAAATGCTTCAAAGAAATTATTTCGAAGATTTATGTAAATAGGTGGTAACCATGGATACATTATATATGAATTTTACATGAAAAATTTCGGTATTCAGCAATGCTAAGTATAGCACGAATATACTCAATCACTAAAAGTTAAGAAACAATAAAAATGTTTTAATTCATATGAAAGGTAATATCCGAAAATAATTAGGAGCAGATTTAGAGGGGTCAGGGGACATCCCCCAATAAGAATTTTTTTTTATGAAAAAGCAGCAGAAAATGCCCCCCCCCCCCCCAAAAAAAAAACAAACACCTGAATCCCTCCTGTAACTGAAAGGTTTTCCCCGTATATGAAGAAAATTGTGGGAAGATCTCATAGAACCCCATTCCTCCCCGAAATAGATTTATGTTATTCTGGATTAGGTAGGTTGTTAATTTTTTTTGTCAAAAAATATTCTAAAATCTGAATTTTTTTACGCACAGCAAAGCTGTTCCCCATAGATTACATTGTAGTTGTGTTGTCCACCATTCAGAAAATTTTCTTTCAACTTTTGACACCAGTTTTGAGTCCCTGCAATATGATTGCTTGGTAACTTGTATAAAATAAAAAAAATACTTTGTTTACATCAGTATCATAAAATGCTTGTACACTATAATGAGTATGATGGTTCTTGCTTGATCAGAACTTGAACCCAGGGGTAGTTTTTCTTATATAATCCTTTGGGGATGAAAAATAATTTTCCAATTTCAAATGTTTAAGTGTTTGGATTTTTTAAAAACGTTTAGAAACTGGTTTAGAAATCAGAATGTTATTAAAATTTTGAATATTTTTTCATACATTACGAAGATATACAAAACAGATTTTGAGGAACGTCTCGTCTGACCTTAAAGAACTATATGCGGTATTAACCAACATTTGCCCCCCAAAATCAAACTTTGATGGAGTAATATTTAATTAAGTCCTTAAACAGGGGAGTATATGCTGACTTCAAAGCACTGAATAATTTCATAAGTAATGACGTCATATGTACGTAATGACGTCACAAATATGACGTAAATTTCAGTTTTTTATGAATTTTGCAGAAAAATGTACATATTTCGTCGATATTTTAAATAAAAGTCACCGAGCGCATGTGTGTTCAGGATAAATATTTTGATATAATGTGTAGAATGATAATATCAATGAAATTTGTCAATATTGTTCCTGAACACACATGCGCTCTATAAATTTTAAAGCTTAAATTGTTGAAATTTTGTCCATTTTGTCCTCTT